TATTCTATAATAGTTTCTAGCTTTATATGCTGACATAAAAAGATTTACAAAAAACTCGCACAAAAAATCAAAATAATTTATAATACACCATTTCATAAAATAAATTTATAAATAATTTTAGTATAAATCTTTATTTATTTTATAATGTATTATTTAGAAACTTGTTATTTTTCATGTAACACAATACTGGCAAACAGATACTTGATACAAGCTTCAGAAGACACACAGCTGGATGACCTTGAGAACAGCTGATTGTAAAGTTTCGCGGGTTGCTCCCAACAACAGCCTGAGGGGAAGTAGGTTTTCTACACACGTCTGAACTAGTTACTGCGAATACTCGATTGTATTACGTTATTTTCTGATAATTTTTTTTATTTTCTTGTTATTATTTATATTATACGCTAAACCTCATTAACCTAATATTGTTTTTTTGTGCTTTAAAGGAAAAACTCCCACAAAAAATTAAAAAAACTTTTAATACAGCAAATTATGAAATACATTTCTAAAATATTTTAGCATAAAACTAAATTTCTTTTATTACTTATTATTTAGAAACGAATTATCTTTCAGATAAGAAAAAATCGCAACGGATCACGTGACACGCGCCGCGTTTCGGTGTACAAAGCTTAATGCCCTTGACAACAGCTGTTGATAGCCATTCGCGGGATATTCTCATACAACCCTCAGGGGAAGACAGGTTTCTAAACAGATGTGCATCAGTTACCGTAAATACTCAAATACATCACAAATTTTTCTATTCGATATACTATCTCTATAGATAGGGACCGAAAAAATGGTCAAAAAATAAACTTCTATTGGGTGTATAGTTACGAAACTTGCTGAGGTCATCAACAACATCCAATAGAATGTAAATAAGCTTTATTTGCATTATTTCGAGCAACGAGAAGTTACGTATGATTATTTAAATTTGCCCGAGTTAACGGGACTGGAAGAAATGGAAGGATGTCAGAACAACGGTCATAGAATGGCATCCAAATCAGGTTGAGGCTTGGGGATTTCCACAATTGCAATGCTACTGATTACCTGCGAAAAATCCTGAAGAGAGAAAAGCAACCGACATTAGACAGATTCTTTAACCCTTTCAAATGGATAAAACATTAATACAAACGCAAGACTATGTATATATGTACTGTATTTTTATTATTACATATAAATAAATGTAGTAAGAAAGTATATATTTTCTATTTTGGGGTCTCCAGAACGAATTAATTAAATTCCCATAAAAACTTATGGTAAATCGATAATCAGTTAACGAACAATTCGGATAGCGAATAAACTTTTAGAACGGATTATGTTCGTTAACCGATCACCCACTGTATTAGCATATGAGCCCGGCGTTGATCGGGCAAAAAATAATGATAGCAAAAGTTAAGAATATTAGATTATAGCCGATCTTATCCGTTTTCACCAAATGCGAGAATTAGGTTCTTCCTCCTTCCAGAGTGACTGGAGAATTTTTAGATGAATCTAAAAATATGTTCGATTTCCTGCAAAAACGCATTTAAAATAGTGCAGGAGCAAATCGTTCAATATAGAAACGTAGCCATTAACAAGAAATTTATTTTACGTCTTTAACTATCCGAAAGGGGCCGTCCATAAATTACGTAAGGTATTTTCGGGTGGGTGGGGGACAAGGATTTCTTACGATTTCTTACTCGGGTAGGGGGTAATAGTTCTCGTCTTACCTAATATTCTTATTTTAATTTTTTGATCTGGTTGAGTAGTGGAGTTTTGAATTTGGCTTCAATTTGGCGGTTTCTATTAAGAACGCTCGTTGTACTGAAGCCATCTAGTGATAAAATAATAACGCTAGCAGACTCACGCTCTACGCGTTTTTTTTCATGGGAGACTGGTCGTGTGGTGGTTTCTCTCTCTCTCTCTCTCTCCCTTTTTATTAGAATAAGTGCACCACTCCTATGAGTGTATAACACTAACAAGTAAGAATACATAAACCAAAATACATGATACAAAGTAAACATAAAATTATTATTCGGCTTTTAGTGAAAACAAATGTAAAAGTAGATATTAGAAATTATAAATAGACTTTTCTTCCATGTTTTTTGAACATAATTGTAAAAATCATGAAACTGTGGCTTCTGAACAAGCTTATCGACTAAATGTGGTTACCTGAAACCAAGCGTAAAGATTTCTAATTTCAGAATAAGTGTATGTTGATCGTAAATTGGACAATGATAGATCATATGGCAAATGTTAAATCTCTAAGTGGTGATGAGATCCAGCATACAACACTAGGAAAATAAAGTCTTGTTATTCTACCAGTTTTATTACTCAACCATTGTTGATTCCACTTTTGCGTAGTGTTGTCATGAAGATAATTTTTAAGGCTGCTACGTGAGAGAGGGATGCGAGTGTATTCCAAATCAGTGTCCTTTGCAGCTGACAGCCTCAAAGTCGACTTTTTCATTTCTAAGTATGACAGAATGGCCAAGGAATTATATAAAAGTTATCTTATTTACAAGATTTTTAATATGGTGCTGCATATATGCGATTTTATTGCTATTGCAATTGGGATTTAATAGAGCTTTTAGGACAGACTGAGAATCACTGTAAATGTTGATAGATAGAGTTTTGTTTGGTAGTGAAGTGGCCCAGTGAACAGCTTGGTAGTCAGCATCTTCAGCTTGATAGATGGAGGTATGTGGGAAGTATCTGTACCTTCTAAAATATTTTTGTCAAAATATGTCAGTTTGGAGGAAAAAACAGACTTTTGAGCCAACAAGAAGGAAGCTTTTGGAAGCATCTGTGTAGATATTAATGTCTGCATGGTTAGCCACGAAGGAAGCAGATGACAACAAATGTATTCTGTGTACACTAAATGTGATCACCAGCTTGTTTACAGGGTGATGATCACATTTAGTAGGGTAATTGCAATTTGGTAGCATATGAACAGCCGTAGATAGGAGTAGAGACCATGGTTGAGCCTTGACGTTTGTAGTCCTGATGGAGTAGTTTAGAACCTTTTCTTGCAATTCATAGTGCAAAAGAAGGAGCTCTGCTAGAATCAGAGGCATTAATAGAAACAGTTCTGCAGCACTTCGAAATTCTGATGGCACCAAATGCTTTGAAGAAAGCTTAATTTACTTGCTAGTAAATTTTTACTAGTTACATGACCCCAGCTAGAGGCCGCGTAAAGTAGAATTGGTTGTATTGCTTTATTATATAGAGTTTACAAGCTTTATGATTTATTCCCCAAGTGCACCTAGCACATTTTAGAAGCAGGTAGTTTATGTATTTTATTGACTTTATCTAAGATGTAATTAATATGGCAACGGAATGTGGTTTTTATTCTCTCTTGTTTTATTTTGTATGACGTTTCTGTTTACACGTGCACTTTCTAGTCGATCAGGCAATGTTTTTTGCGTTTTTTGCGAACATTAAAATTAATATAAAAATAAATATTATGACGTTGATTAATGATAATGATGATAATAATAATAATATTGTTAATAATTAAAAAATAAAGTTCCTAAAATAAATTGTTCATTCGAATTCATTAAATTTTCATATTTTTAAATTTGTGCACATAAAGTCTTTTATAAATAATAGTACATATTAATTAACTAATTAATAATTATATATTTTAGACCTAAGGTTTTTAGAATTTCGTATAAAATTTTTCTGTAAAATCATACCTAAATATTACGTAAAATAGGAGAGAAGAGAGGGGAGGGGGAATCAAAGAAAATATTATAGTTTCTTACACAGGGGTGGGTGGGATCTAGAATGGCCAAAATCGCCCTTATATAATTTATGGACGGCCCAAAGCAAGAGATCAAGTTGAGTATCTTTTACAATAGTTGAGTCACGCCACCCTTTGGACACCTAAGTTTAGTAAGGGTGGGGTGTTATGTTTTATTATTCAAATCGTTTTATATTTTTTATACATTATAAAATGGCAGAAAGCTTCATTTTTAGGGTAGGGATGAGTTTTATATAGAAAATTGTAAATGCTAATAACGAGTGAAATCCTGATCCAAGTTCGACGCTACTGGAGATATGGCACAAGACCACTTTTTATCTCTTTATTCGGTCGACCTTTAACTACCGAAATTGAATAGCATCAATGCCATAATACACAAACCTTCCTGAAAATTTCAAAAATTTTCTACAGAAAGTATAGGTGTTATTAAGCATCAAAGCGAGTGAACAAAGTACTGTTCCCCACTAAAGCTTGCGCGTTTATCGTTGTTTATGGTACTGTCAACGTCGAAAAACTCGTTATACGTTATACAAAATGGAATTTAGTGAGTCTGGTTTAAAATGTCATCATTAGAAAAAGTTTAAATAGGAGTATTAAAGCAAGCAACACATAAAGGACGACAACAGTAGTGACAAAAAATTAAAGTATTTAAGTCCGGGTTTACCTACGTATCTAAAAAAAAACAGTGTTTTTAAAATTGATCTCCGCAATATCAATACATATTGTTCTATCAGAAGCAGTATACGTAGCGTATTTAGTCAAAATACGAGGTACAGTATATATACAGTATAATAGCGAGGTTGAGGCCGAAGTTTTAAACGCGAAAACGTATACGGCGGACGTTCAGCGCCATTTTCCTGTAAGCCTAGAAGTTTGGCAATGGCGTTTATAATGTCGAGCATGATTTCACTCACTTTTCAAACGACATTGTCAAACTTCCAGGCTTACAGGAAAGCGGCACTAAACGTCCGCCGTACACATTTTCGCGTTTAAAATTCAATTTCTTTTCAATTTCTTTTTCCTTACGGAAAGAGTTTGTTTGTTTGTTAAGTTATGGCAACGCAACACTTGGGCGATCTGCCTAGGGCAGGGGTCGGCAACCTGCGGCTCGCGAGCCACATGCGCCTCTTTGGATGTGAAGCTGCGGCTCTTTAGTTCCATACGGAAATATTATTTATTTTATCAAAAAAAAAAAAAAATAAACATTTAAAAATCGTTCTGAATCGATTAACGAGGATTAGGCACTTATTCTATTNAAATATCTTTTCAGTTTTATTAAATGGAATTTCACTAAGTTTCTTGTCGATAAAGACGGGCAACCAGTTGCTCGTTATGCACCAAACCACGAACCTCTGGTAAGATATAATTACTTGTAATTTTTATAAATGTATTATAACTGCCTTATTTTATGTACATTTTTTTAAAGGCCATTGAACCAGATCTTCAGAAATATTTTTAATCAGGACTAATGCATTTGATTTAAATCTCATTGTGTAGAAATATGATGGTTGACCAGAAAACCATTACTTATGGATAGGTGAACTGGATGACAATTCTATCACATTGAATATTAATTCAAATGTTCAGACATGATTATTTTTAATAAACTCATCGTTTTCATTTATTATTATTATTTTTTGAAAAGTATTAGTTAAATAAAATTTGAGCTGTAATTTTAGTGATTTGATTATTTAGTGAGAATAAATAATTTTCAATCTGTTTTGAATTTAACTGTATTTATTAAAAAAAATACACTTTTCAATTTTATAAGTTTAAGCTTCAAATATTTGGTTAAATCTTAAAATCTCAAATATTAAATTTGACGTTAAATAGTAACGCTTTTTTATGAGAAAATACTATTCCAAAAATTCTCAAAAAGGTAGCAGAGAACCAAACTCTTTTTTTGTTTTATTTATTCATCAGAATGTTGTTTAATTCATTAAAGATTTCGCACAAAGTTTAAAAATTCGTAGAAAATTATGGAATGATTTTCAAAATTCTGATTCTTACGTTAATTAAAGAATTAAATAATTTTTGGATTAAAATCGTCTGTTTCTTTACAATGTTATTCACAAATGCTTAAATAATCGTCATTTTAATAAAATAAATCATAATTTTAACCCAAAACACAAAAAAAATTAAGACGTTTAAGCCGATAGTCTACTCACCTTACTACATGTAGCGAACGCCATTATCGACGGTCCACAACTGCCAGATGGCGGCGCTCAACCGTTCGCCGTACACGTTTTGGGCTAAATACGTGCGCATCAACCTCTCTATTAACTACATTAGGTCGTGAGGACGTACGTTTTCGCGTGAGAAAACTTCACTCATCGACCTCGGAGAGCTGAACCATTTTTTATTACCGATATCTAAAGATTATTTTTGTTAAAATCTATAGCATATTGTTCGAACTCATCCTACGACGTACACTAGTTATTAATTTAATTAACTGGGACGATGTCAGCCGAATGCGGAGGTTGGACGAGTTATCATTCTTAAACTGTAAAGAAAATAAATGAGAGGTTGCAAAGGAGACAACAGTTGGTGACAACGCGAACTAAACTAAACACCTTACGGATGCCACATTATTATCGTTCTATCCACAATTTGAAGATGGTTACGAACGCTGGAAGATTACTGTCATTTCTAGTTCTATCACTATTCCTACATATAGATATATGAAACACGTGATATGCATAAAGATTATTTTTCAACAGTTTTTACTATTGCTCGAAGGTTAACAATATACTTTATAATTTAATGTGATTTGGAGTCACTTCCATCTAAACAAACGACGTTGCAATTAGAACAAAATTTTCACTTCCAATTTCGAACTAACAGAATTCCTTAATATGTAACTTTGTATATCTGCGGCGGGAACAAATAGTACTGTTCGAATGTGCGAGGATTTCCTGAATTATGAATTATAACAAAATACGTACTGTTCTAATTAATAATCGAATAAATTAAGATTAACCGTAATTAATACAAGAAACTATCTATGGAATAATTCTTTATTTAAAAAAGTTTTACATATATATATTAAATACTATAATGCTTTTAAATTTGCAACTTTTAAAAAAATGAAAAAGCATCACTAATTTAAAACCAGTTTTGCTTACATCTTTCGATCATTATACATCAGTAGAAATTAAAAATAATATTCGTTCAAAAGTTCCAAGTGTCAATATTCTAACGTATTTTTGAATCGTAGTTTGAAATGAATATCTCTAGACATAACATTTATATGCCTTTTGTATGTTGTAAGACCGAAGGTGTCTAATTAAGTTCGACTTGTCCGCAAACTTCTTTTTACACTCGTCACAACTGTAAGGCTTTTCTCCTGTATGGATTCTTTCATGCCTTTGCAAATGATATTTAGTTTTGAAATTCTTCTTACAGTGTTTACATGAAAATTTCTTTTTGTTCCTTTTGTCTGCAATTAAAAAAATTGTCATAAATAATATTTTATCGATATAATAAAAAGTTTCTTACATAAGAACAATAATTAAATCCATAATAATATTTAATAAAATAATAATTTTTATATTTAATTAAAAGAACATTTTTGTATCAAAACACACAAAAAGTAATTTTAGAGATAATGATGTTCGTGTATAAATATGTTATAGATATTTATAGATATTTTTCAAGTGTATTTATGTCTTCATAAATTTCTTTCTTCTGTCCTTGCAGTAGACCTTTTGCTTCTTTTATATATTTTAAATAAAGAGTGCTGGTGTGAGGAAAGCATTGCATTTAACATTCAATTTTTTTCTATAAACTTGGAAAATATTTTCTTCAAAACTGATTCGTCCAAAGAACAACTGAAAGTAATAACATACATGAAATAAATTGCATTAAATTTAATTTTACTTTACTTTTAATATTAATAATAATTTATAGTAAATTTAATATTAGAATGTATTATTCATATTCTTATTCATTTCTATTGTTAAATGTAAAGTTGTATAATATGTCAGATTCAGATTTAAAATAATAATGTATTTTTGAAACACTTTTGTAAAGTATATTTTCCTCATAACTTCTCGATAAGAGGAAGTAATAACGTTGAAACGTGTAAAATACAATTTCTTAAGAGTAAATCGTGGATTTCATTTCAGCAACATTAAATTTTGTTGTTGTTCTTTTTAACTTCTGTTTTCTGTATTTTCACGGTAAAAATTGGCTAAATAAAAATAAATAAATAAAATGATGTTAATTAAATATCAGACAAATTCATATTCAATGTATGCTTTACAGTGATTAAAATTTCTATTCTCTAGGCTAAATCATTTAAAATATAAAAATTTTATGTTTAAATTACTTGAAATTTATAGATAAACAGTGTACACATTTACTAAAATACCAATAAATTTTTATGAGGAAGCGTTGTTCGTGAATTTTGTTAAAAATTCTTTTAAAACGATGTCTACAAGAATAATATCTATACAGAATGCAAATGGTATGTAAAAGATAAGTCTAAATTAAAAGTGTTATTGTATACGTTTACATTGAATAACTACCTATAATATGAAACAGAGAATAAAAGATTATAACTAGTTAAAGCATGTAATACTGTATATTCAGTCGATTGCAAATTGAACATTTCTGGCTCTGTTGGTCGAACTGTGAATTTGCACAAGCTTTTCTTTTAATATAGAGAAGGAAGTGTTTTGGTTTGGGCATAAAATTCTAATTGTAATCGAATATTTTTTAGAAAGAATTAAGTAGAAAAATTCGGAGACAAAAATTAAAAACTAAAATGAAGTGAAAAGCACATTGGAACAACCATGATCAGAAAATTGATGAACGCCACAGAAAAACTGTTAATAAACGATCTCTGCCTAACAGATTAAACGTTGTGCTGCAAAGAAAAGACAATACAACAAGATATTGAAATATTCAAATCTTTTGGTGTAACTAAATTTTAAATTGCAATAAATGTAATCTGTTCCATTACCATTATTAATTAAAATTGCCTAAAATTGTTATAGCAGGCGCAATTCCCAAGGGGAATAATCAGTAAAGCGAATATCAGTATATAAATTCAGTATAACTATTGACCCTAGCTGCGAGACTTCAGAACACCGTACAAATTTTTCAGGGCCTCTACTTTTTATATCATAGATTTAGTATTTAAAAATAAGTAGGCCTACTTTCATTTGCAATCATAACTCGACCGTTTGTATATAGTTGTTTGTGAAGAGTGAAGTATTATAGTGAGGCCCACTTGCGCCTCGTGGTTTATGGAGCCCGGGCCGGACCTCATAATACGGGCTGTGCACAAATTTCGTCCGTATTTTTCTTCAAATTTTTACTCTCTCTCCCTCATTGTTTCAGTTTGTCCAAATTTCCGTAACACAGCTGTTTGAACGTCTAACAAAACTCAAATCCTCGCAAAACTTTTATCACTATATGAATAATAAAAAACTGCGTGAACTGTATAAAATTTAATGAAATAAAACGAACTTCCATTGAAGATCAACCCCTCTCCCTCATCGTGTTCGACTTTGTCCGACTTGTCATAACCCTCCTTCTATCGTCATTTATGGACAGCCCTACAGTCGTGTTTAAAGATCCACAATGGTGAACAAATACCTCTCTCGCGTACTGATCGAAATTTTTCGCAACTATAATTCAGCTTTAAGAATGAAACATTTATATGTATAATACTAACTTATTAAAATAAAGCAAATAACTAAATTTTGAGTTGGCTAGGTATTATAAAACATTGGAAATGCTAATAAAGAGCAAAATAATCATTAAGTGTGACCCTAATCGATGTATGACACGATACCGTTTAACTCCCCACTTCCTTTCACCAGCAAAATTTAATAGCCTTAATCCCCGTAATGCACAAACCTCTTTGCACAATTTCAGAAATTATCGACAATAAGCATAAGAGTTATTAAGCTTCGAATAGAGTGAACAAAATCGCACGCCCTTCACACAAACATACAGAAACATTTCTGAAACTTTTTGTATTTTTCAAAGTTTTAAAGTCCCGAGTCCAAAACGTGAAAATTTTGGAAGGGTCATTTTTTTGACCGATCGCCATAGTTTCCTTCTGTTATATATAAAAGACGGGAAAATAATTACTACAGTAAAATAGATTTTCTAGACAAGAGAAAGGTATCAATTTGAATGATTATCAAAAATATAAAATCCTATTGGAATATTCTATCATATGCGGTATAGCTAACACACCCCATTATGACATCATCAAGTCTAATTTAAGCTTATTTTTATTCCAATAAATTCATTTAATTTGAACGTTGTCGATACTTTTAAATAAACGTAATGGCATTTAAAACTGTTTCTTGCCCTTACATTATTATTATTCGACGTACCTGTATTTTCGTTTTATATTTTAGGGCTTACCAAACACGGCAATCGAGTATTTAATACAATTTATCACACTTTGCTAATTATAAAATTTATTACAATTGTAAATAATTGTATACTCGATTGTTGTGTGTGATAAGCTCTAATATATAAATTACAACGATTTCAGTTTATGCAAGAATTACGTTGAACAACACGACATCTAATTCTTATTATCAAAGCTTTTAAAAAGTTAAATATAAATTGATTAAAATCACACTATAAAAAAATAAATTACCTCGATTAAGTCTTAACGAAATGTAAATATCCAACAGAATTACGAGCCGATATTTTAATTTTTATTGTTGATAAATTAAATATAAATCTGTAGA